CCTTTGTAGCAGTTTTTGACACTGTTTGGTCGTTCATTGCTGACAATATGTGCCTTTCACTTAATGGTGTTCGTCCAATGCTTGCCAACGTTGCAGTTAGCACTTCTCTTTGTGCCACGTATAATGCACAGTCACAAAATATGTGAGCTATCGTTTCGCGCACTTGGCAGCGTTCACAATTTGGGCTGTCCGCACGGCCGATTAGGTAAAAGAAGATGGCTTTCGCGTTCAAGTCACTTTGGGCCAATGCATAAGAAACCTTGCGAGTTTTTTAGATTTGCGTCACTGCATCCAGTATTAAACCCAATTGTGACCTACAATTATAATCGCCAAGAGGAAACATAACTTGACGAGGCCTGCCACGACAAACAGTGACGCAGCGATTTCTCTGGCTCGGATAAGCGAGGACCCGTCGGAAATAAAATAAAGACCTCGTCACGGGATGCGCTTATTTCGCAGCGACCAAAGTTGCGTTCCCGGCCAAGACTTATCGGCGGCTGCGTGGATGTCGCGTGGTCGCATCGTGCTGCCTGACAGCCCGCTCGGGGTGTTTGAGGCCAACGGAATATGGGCTGCCGGCGAGATAACCCGGCACGTTTGTGACCGCCGCTTCCGCGTCTCTTGCGTGCATGTAACGCAGGCGAATACTAAAAAAGGAAGGATTGTTTGGTGGACTATACTCCGTGTCATCCCATCAGGTGCAGTGCACTGGAAGCTAGCGAGACTTCTTGCAGTAGTTGCAGTTCGAACTTCGAACCAATACACACTTTAAAAGAGAGAGATCTACGTACGAACGAAATGAAAAGTTGGGCCAGTTGGTGCTTATATACTGAGAGGGATCACGCACCATGACATGACTTGTAGAATAAATGTGTCACATTTTGTGCCGAAACCAGGATATTTTTCAAGCTGCATGACCTTTGCACATCGGCTGGTCATCCACCTTTTATGCGTGTGTTTCTATTGCGCGTGTCTATACACTTTTGCAATATTTAAAGTGTGTCTATAGGCACTTGATATGTTTAAAACATTCGAGTAAAAAGGCTTTACGCCCTTTATGCCATTTCACTTTCTCACTACTTCATTTCTCGCTGAAGTGTTAGTTTTCCGTTTGTTTTTAGCATCTCGTCCAAGCTCGCTGCCAGGGGGTGGGGAAGATAGATCCCTCTCAATTCCGAAGTTTTACAATTTTGCTTGCGTTTATAAACTCGTGCACATACAAATGCGCGCATGAACATACATGAAATAGGGTTGAACCCCCATCGCCCCAAAAATTCTGGCTACACCCTTGATCTCTTCTTTGCATGTGTGAACGTTGACGGTACTCATTTATTCAGCCTTCCCTGGCGACGTTGCCTAAGTCATTATTAAAAGAAACGCCCCTCTGCATTTCTTGCTAATTGAAAGAAAAATACATGCTAGCACAGGAAAGGCAACTCCGCCATGGTGGTCTAGGGGTTAAAACACTCGGCTGCCGACCCGCAGGTCGTGGGATCGAATCCCGGCTGCGGTGACTGCATTTTTGATGCAGGCGGAAATGCTTTAGGCCTGTATGCTCAGATCGGTACACGTTAAAGAACTCCAGCAGTTGAAAGTTTCCGGACCCCTCCATTACGGCATCTCTCATAATCATATAGTGATTTTGGAACGTTAAACTCCAACAATTATTACTATTAGGAGAAAAGGGGAATGGTGCTGGCTAAGAAGCTGTTCTACGTCATTACGCCGAGAATCTATTGTACTCGAGGTTGCTGTACAAGGCTGTTGAAAAGCAACGGCGCAGATGGAGCATGCGATTTTACAACTTTATGTGTTTTACTCAAGACGACCTCTTCAAATCACTGTGGCCATAGGCATGTGCACGAGAATGTGGGCAAAAGGGTCCAGGAGTAATGACTTAATCATGACTGAATTACCACCTAAATACTAAGTGGGTGGGGCAAAGATTGACCTAGTTTTTTGTTTTTTTTACCAAGTCGGACCTGCCCCTTTATTGTTTAAAGGCAAGCTTATGTCCGCGTAACTTTCGGGGGGGGGGGGGGGGGGGTTGAATGCCACTGGTGTTGCATTCAAAAACCGTTTACATTCCGGTACACTGCCCCGCCGCTGTGGTCTAGTGGCTAAGGTACTCGGCTGTTGACTCGCAGGTCGCGGGATCGAATCCCTACTGCGGCGGCTGCATTTCCGATGGAGGCGGAAATGTTGTAGTCCCGTGTGCTCAGATTTAGGTGCACGTTAAAGAACCCCAGGTGGTCGAAATTTCCGGAGCCCTCCACTACGGCGTCTCTCATAATCATATGGTGGTCTTGGGACGTTAAACGCCAGTGTATATAATACATTCTGGTACACCCCACCTCCCCTCCCCAGAAAGCAGGAGACTTAAGGTAGGCCATTGTGATAAGCATATGTCATAGCTTCATTTTTTTTTTTTTCGTCGAGCAGTGAAGCACCTTGCCTTTTGGGATCGACAAATAAAGATAGTGGATGCTTTGTTCTGCTGAAGAACTGTTAGCAATGGTCCTGCTGTTCATGCATCTGTCGCCTTTGTCCAGCCGTGATGACGAGCCTTGCAGATGGAGGAAGGGAGGGGGGGGGGGGGACTGCGATAAAACTTTGCCCCTGCCCCCCATTCTCATTCAGCAGTTCCATGTCCATAGGCGTGAGCAGTATTTTCCAATAGGAGGGAAAAGCTTTCATGGCTAGCGTGCGTGTATTGATGGTTTCAAACATTTGGCACTTCCCAGCGTGAAGAAATGTCAACGAAAGGTTTTGAACATGACGCGAGCAATCCCATTAGATGGCTGAAATTTCACGTTGTCTTGATGTCGGTCAAGAACCCCCGAGATTTTCTCGCTTTTTTTTTTTCTTACTCTATGGCCTCGCGCGCATTTCAACAGAAAGCCGAAACCAGTTGAGTTTCCCTCTGAATTAGTAAAACGTCCTTACAGGCGGTCTGAACAGTCTCTTGAAAGCACACTTATTGAACCTTCCGACGATTGATGCCCCCGTACCCCGGAACACTATTGGCATCTTCACGCACCAACAACGAGTAGGTGACGAATGAAAACGCAAACACAGTCAACATTCCCCCGGAGTTACATGTAAGGGTTACCGTTGTCGGAATCGATTGATTGATATGCGGGCACGTGGTTTAGCGTCTCAAAACGACCATATGATTACGAGAGATGCCGTAGTGGATGGCTCAAGAAATTTCGACCTTTTGGTGTTCTTTAACATGCACCCAAATCTGAGCACCCGCGCCTACAGCATTTTAACCTCCATCGAAAATGCAACAGCCGCAGCCGGGATTCGATCCCGCGACCTGCGCGTCAGCAGATCGCGGGACCTTAAGCTACTAGATCACCGCGGCGGGGCGCCTGTTGTTGGAATCGTTTTCGCTGACGAGCAGTTTCATATACGGCAGCTACAAAGACAGCCATCGCGGCTGTGTTTTAGTAAACAACATCGATACACGATGCGCTGGCTGTTGGACCAACAACACATGCACTGACGTTGATTTTTTTTTTTTTTTTTGCGGTGGCAGCCGCGCAGTGGTTCAGTCGACGCCGCAGCACCTGTATCGAACCAGTCACAGAACACCTACCCACGCACCACTGTGACATTTAAGGTAGGCAATGCAAGACAAATCGAAGAGACCTTATGAGCGCACCGAATCGTAAGATTCGGTGCGCTCATAGACCACAACTGCAAGCGAAAACCTATGCTGTTAAAAAAAACAAAAAAACTTTCAGGCGATGTCTTTGTTAGTGCTATTTCGGCTTTGCGGATGGGGAAAAAGAAAGGAAGAAATGAGACGCTGAAAAAAAAAAATCACAGCATATCCACGGAGTGAATAATGATGAGTGGGGTGAAGCGCTGGAGGGTTTCATCGCTAAACTGTGAACCATTCGCGAATATCGCCTACTACATCATCAAATGCGCGACCAACACTGTATGTATTTATACAAAAATTTATTATTGGTAAGTGGTAGCTATATGTCGCTTTCGTTACCCCTTCATTATAACGGCTTTATGGTCGCTGAGGCGATGGATCGGTGATGGGGCGTAACGGGATGTTGCGAGGACGAAGTAGTGGGCAGTTTGCAAAGGTCGAACTATAGGCGGTTACGTACAAAGGATGGACACAGTAGGACAATATATAGTTTTTTAACACGCACCTGGATACAAGTACACGACCATCTTGCATTTCATAATGGCTACTTCTCAACGTATTGGCTTTATGGTCGCTGAAGGGGTGGATAGGTGATGGGGTGTAGTGGGATGTTTGCAAGGTGGCTGCGTACACCAACGGAAAAAGGACAGACCCACGCCCTAAGGAGGTTCGCCCCTAAAAGACCCTTTTCATTGTCCGCTAGTGCATTTCTTTGCGCTGCTTATTCGCCCAACTAATCGTGGCGCCTGTCGTGCTTCAAGTGGGGACGAGGTGCTAGTAGCATATGCTGTGTCTCGTCTATCGTGTCTACGTCAAGAGAGCCAAGTCCACGTTTTTCGCGTAATAGCGCAAGCAAAACCACACTTGAACACGCTGTTTGCAACTAGTGACTGACCGCCATTAGATGGGCAAAATACATAGCAGGAAAGCTCAGGGACAGTGAAACAACTGACAGGTCTTGCACTGAAGTTTTATATTGGTGAGAAGAAATTGCGACAAGCAACTGATGAAATGTACACGTCCCGTCCTATCACTGTACACCAGTTTTGCGCTGTTTCGCCATAATGTTATGTTGCGAAGAGAAGAAAGGTGAACAGCTGAAGGAAGCAGGAACAAGAGCCTTTTCCCCGTTGATGTTTAAATTTCCCTCTTTTCCAGTCTAATGACGTAGTTAATGAAAACACGTACTTCAATTTATGTTCTAAATAATAAAAAAATTCTTTTTCGTGTGTGCGGCAGCTGTGTAATTAAATTTATTGCTTTAATTGAAGTTTGGTATATTTTAAGTTTTAGGCTCGCGCGTACTCTGGCTAAGCTAAGAACACGTGGTTAGTGGTGCGCGGTTCAATCATGCCGGCGGGCCTGTAGCTGTGTTTACACTGAGTTTAAACTTTCTATTTGTTCCTATTTAGCAGAACTTAGCTGTGACATCGCCTTCGGCATGAATACTACGTCAGAAGAAGAAAAGAAGAGGCTATTAGAGGAGCTGTAAGCTTTTTCACAACTACTTCGGCGTCTCCAAGTGGTGCCGTTTATTCCGATTACCGGCTTTTCGGTGTCATCTTGTGCGTATTCCTGAAAGGAAGTTGTCGCTGTAATTAGTAGGGGAAATGTGTGCGCATACATTTAAGGTGGAAAATGTGGATTGAACTGCAGTGTCGGTGTTGATTTTTAGTAGTTTATCTAGCGCTAACTTTTCCTCTGTTCACTGAGCATTTGCTTGGTTCCAGATGCTTAACGAGCGTGTGCGGTGTAATTCTTACACCGTGCGAGCGTGAGAGAGACCTTGTGTTTTGAACTGTAACTGTTTAGTGGGCTCAGTATTCAAGCGCACTCTTTTCAACACGTTTCTGTACGATTAGGGATTCTCAATGCGATTGTAGTCCGTACAAACCATGCAACAATCAACTAAATATTTTTGGCAGGGATTGTGGCGCCATCTGTCGAGTGTGTCGAGAAACAGTTACGTGGCGGCGCGAAGTTTCGCATTGTGCAGCAGCTTGATTTCGCGCATATTGAACTTTAAAACAAAGTGAGCCTCTCAAGTTAAGTTGTGCCAGTCTGTCTGCACCTCAAGAGCTCGTGACACATGATCTGAGCACAAACTTTACGTGTGACGTCACTGTCTGGCAAAATAAAACAGTGAAATGGTACTGCCCAAGTTACGCCACCTCCCCTCACCCGTGCCCTCTTCGTAGACACGAGCTGATTACTGACAGTAGCGGAATACCGATACTTCAACACCCGGTCAGAACACTGCCTTTCTTCAAAACTGCATGGTGGTGGTATGACCTCTTGCGCGACGTTTATGCTTGGATAACATGATCCCAATCTCTTAATCTGTAAATATATTGTTCCACTCAAAGTGGCCAGAGCTTGGTATTCAGTAAAAAGAAAAAAAAATCAGAACTCATTTATTGAACTGGAATTTAATGCTGTTACAACGTCTAATAGGTGACATTAGCAATCATTCAGCCAACATTATTCATTGCTCGGGAATTTCGCCTAAGTAACCCCCTCCCCCCCACCTCTGTTCCCCACCTTGAAGCCTGTGTGTGTGCACAGCGTCATGCGACATACTAACTCACCCATGATGTCATTCCCCCAAACCGTAGCTATATTTATTTATTTATTTATTAGAATACCCTCAGGGCCCGTAGGGCATTACAGAGGGGGTGGGTACAACATATATAACACACAAGAAAAAAAGACAAAATAAAGAAACAAGTATCAGATGCGCAAATCAGGAAGGCAACATAAGTCAACTAAAAATGTATAAGAATTCAAGCACATACAAGACAAAGATAGATAATGGAAACTGCGTATAGTTACAAGCATTGCTGAGAAATTGCAGTCTTGAATAACAAAGGGTCTGTTATTGATACCACGGAAGAGGGAAGGTGGTTCCAATCGGCGGCTGTTTTCGGTAAGAAGGCTGCTGAAAAGAATTTGGTGCGGCAAAACGGAATGGCAACCTTATGCTGATGATCAATGCGCGATGAGTGGTATGACGGTTGTGAAATGAGGTCTGGCTTCATTGATGGATTGTGAAAAAATATCTTATGAAAAAAATGCAGTCGCGCCAGTTTCCTCCGGACAGTTAAATTGGGTAGGTCAAGGTTAGATTTCATTTCTGATATGCTAGCAGTACGGGAATAATTAGAACAAATGAACCGAACTGAGCGGTTCTGAACAGATTCTAATGCGTTAATTAAATTTTGCTGCACGGGATCCCATATAGCGGACGCGTACTCAAGCTTTGGGCGAATTAGTGATCAATATAATAGAATTTTAAGGGACAGCGGAGCGCGAGAAAAGTTGCGGCGTAAGTATCCTAGCGTTCGGTTAGCGTTATTACAGATGTAGGTAACATGCGTGTGCCAAGATAGATTGTTGGTAATGTAAACGCCGAGGTACTTATATGAAGAGACATGCTGGAGGGGAACGGCGTTAATTCTGTAGGTACAGGGGGGAGAAATAGATCGCCGGGTTATTGACATGCATTTAGATTTGTTAGAGTTGAGAGTCATAAGCCATTTATTGCACCAGGTTGAGACAGTGTCAAGGTCTGACTGTAGAAATTGGTTATCATATTCATTGTTTATTTCGCGGTAAATTACACAATCATCTGCAAATAACCTTATAGCGGAGTTAATGCTGTCTGGGAGATCATTAATATATATAAGAAAAAGTAAAGGGCCTAATACGGAATACGGAATATGAGCACAAGGCTCGCAGGAGCAGGAGTGAATTTATTATAATGATTTATTTATGTAGTCGTGTTACTCTGAAGGCACACAATGAAATTTAGACGAAATTGTCATTAACGTGATAGCATTAAAAAGCTCTCTTCACAGAAATTCAAGTGTCAGCATTGGGGGTTGTCGACGAAAATCAGCGTTGTCCAAGAGCGAAAATCGAGAGAGGTGTAGATAAATAACTAATAGGAATTTTCGGTTCAAGGGAGAATCGAGCCCTAGCCGTCAGCACCAAGGTGATTCACGTGGGGCCTTGGAGGATGCTTGAGCTCCTTTTATTGCTCCTTTTTATTGCTTTGTTGTTATTAACGGCTATAAGTATCGGCACAACCGTCGTCATTATACAAAGCCACCAACCCAATATAAGGCACATCCTTGAAAACTATCTAGGCCTGCTTCTAGTGTCACTGGTGTTGTGTGATATATACACCACCTAGTCTGTCGTAATGCGTGTTCTCAGACATCTATTGAAATAATTGTCAACGGTATGGTTGAAACTCGCAGGAGCAGCTGCACTGCCCGTCTCCTGACAATCTCGGAGCAGAGCTGTCGGCTGAAACACACAAAACGCACGAACTACCTCTCGTGGCAAGACTACTTCATGTCCTCAGCTTACTTGGCAGCCATGCGCAGCAAGGACCCAAACACGCAGGTAACAATCTTTCTTAATCTATTTGCGATGCAAGCTGCATTCATTGTAGACATGTTGGCCACTTCGCACACACTCCCAGCTTTTCACAGCATACTTGTAAATGTGAGACCTCAGATTGTGTTTGCATTATCTGGGACCCTTCCACTAAGATGCAGTAAAAGCTTGTCAATTCCGATTTCACAGGACCAAAAAAATATCCATATCGATAAAATTGCATCTTAATTATCAAAAGTTTCACGAAGACAATGAACAAATGTCTGTTGCACTAATGCAGTTTCCCTTTCTTGTTAAATACGTGAGTCTTTTATTTTTTTCATAAGGGCCGAGTAAAAGTTGCAGTTCTCGTCTTTGTGCGACTTTCTTCACTGCTACCATAGTCCCAGAGTGCCATGTTTAATTAACTTAAAGCGTTCTCTCAAATCTCTTATTATGTACCACCACAATAACCACGCACACATAACGTTAGTGATTTCGCAGGGAAATTAACTGGCAGCTGTTAGTTCGTCCATGGAAATGTAGAAAACGAGTTTTATGCCAGCATGCAAACCATGGCTCTTGATCTGCTACAGCTTGCACCAAGTTAGTTTTGATGTGATTTGCATAAAGTCAAAACAAAGTTGCCTTGTGCTGGGTCATCACGTGCACAAAACAGTAGTTACAAACTGATAAAGAAATATGCAGCGATCATCTAGAAAGGAAAGGGTTCTGGTGCTCAATGTAATTCGAAAGGCAAAGGAGTGCTTCAATACACAAGCCGAAAAGTTCATCACATTCAGCCATCACGTTCATCACACAGTGTGACCAAACACGAAATGCACACAACAACTGAACAAATACCTTGTATAGATTTCAGTAAAGGGGCTAGCCAGAAAAATGTTTTGGTACAGATTTAGCCAACCTTAATGTACATTAGACAGTCATAGTATACGGGGCTTACTGGGATGCCGGGCGTACCGTGATAGAGGAACCGAAGTGCACATGCGCAGATACGTACGTTACCTATACTGCTTACTGTACACGCGCTATTTTTCACATTTAACTTTACCGTGCTAGCTAAGTGTATGTAGTGTACGTAAAACGTGGCGGCGCTCTCGAAACGCTTGCTTCGAAGTGATTTTGGCGTTATTGGTGAAAGATTCACTTTGTTTGCAGCAAACGGCTGTTAAAAATGGCTTCGCTTGCCTTCAGTTAGCTTTGATGACCAAGTATTAGGGATACGCTGGCGTAATTTTTGAGATAGCTTCCGATTTCGAACGTCTCTAGGCCTAACTAGAATATCGATGTACAAAAATCGGAAACATAAATGTTTTCACGTTTGGTGCGTTGTTCTCATTTGTTTGCTTTTATTGTTACTAAAATAAACTTGTAACAATGCTTCGCATGGTGGCGCAGGCAAATCTTTTCTTTTTGACTGTTCTTTAGCTAATTAACCATCCGATAGGTGGCGCCATCGTCCCAGCTGGGGCACGTAAGCCACGTAAACACTATCCCGCTAAACTATAGGACGCTGCCTGCAACGAGCGTTTGCTGCACAGTAACGCCATTCCCTTAACTTCGCCTATCAGGCTAACAGCAAACTATAGCTGTCTATTGGTGCATGTGACTGTATGTGCGCATGTGCATAGTGTTCAAGGCACTCACTTTCAAACTGGTTGTACCTGAGTTTAAACCCCCCAAAAAGAAATTTTATAAAGTTGTATTTCATTATTCTTTGATGTGGGCCAGCAGTGGGTGAGGCAGGTTTCTTGGAACGTCATCGGCTTCACACGTGAGTCTATAGAAGCTTCACTTAAAAACCCGAAACTCCTGTAACCATTCACAAAGATGATGGAGGAGGTGTGGGGAGATGAACAGCTCTCTTCAATTCTTTCATGCCTGGCAAGGTGGCAGAGAAATCACCCACTACAATTCAGGAAGCAAACACAAAGTAGATAGCCTAGTAACAAAACAAAATTGTTTATTTACCTTGCAAATAGCTTTTCTTGTGATCGCTGCAGCTAATGCTAAGCTGTAGAGGATTGAAGGAATTGGGGTGCAGACCGCTACTCCCTCCTTTCTGAAGTTTTTTAATTTCCATGTATGTGGCCATGCATTCTCAATGTCAGCTTAACTGAAGCATACAAGTGCATTCGATCTACGATACAAAAACAAAAAAGGGGAGGGGTGGGGAGGTTGGGAAGGAGGGGATTGGCTGTGGGAGCTCTATGGCAATATTTTGTGTTGGCAGAATAAGTCATCTGCTGAATTTGGAAGTTCGATAATAAATATAGTGCATTTCCAGATAATTTTGACTTCAAGAAAATTGAATTCCTAACATAACTGCATTTCCATGATCATGGGATAGTTCTTTCATATGGGCTTTTCTACAGGCTCACAAAAACGGCAAGGAACGGGAAAGACTGCGTGTCAACTCAGCCTGATTACAGCGTTACTGGTATGGCTGCTATCTGTGATAAAACTGAATGATTACGTTAGGAGGGGTACAAAAGAAAGAATAGCAGGATGTCGGGCATGCCTGCACCAAGCTTTGCGTGCCTCTATTGGATAAGGTCACCTGAATTTTTTTCGAGAACCTCTAACGTAATGCAGGTTGGCTGCGTGATTGTGAATGAAGAAAACAGGATCGTCGGAGCCGGGTACAATGGAATGCCCAACGGGCTCAGCGATGACGAAATGCCTTGGGGCAAATCAAGTGATTCGCCAGTTGATACCAAGTATCTGTATGGTAAGTAGTACTCCGGAGGCTGGCCCTTCTGTGCTCTTTCTTCTTACTTTACAGGGACAGCAGTTGACAAACATTTTTTTTAAAGGTGTTTGCATTTGCTTTGATTTTGAATTCACTCACTATAACAGTCACATTCTCTCAGAGTAGAATTTGCTGTCTTGTTTGCACGCTTTCTTGCTCACATTCTAACCATATTATTCTAATTACTTCTGATACGTTGTGCTATTGCTCAGAGATTGTGCTACTAAAGTAGAGCCAAAAAGGTGAAAAGCAATCGCTGTCGAGTTTCAACAGCGACCGTTCAGTTTGTCGGCTTCCATCTGGGTGAGTATTCAGGTGAGGACATAGATAACAAAGCGCTCTGGTTTCTCTTCTTGAAGGTATATGCAACCACAACACTGCTTTGTGGAATGACTGCAGCTTTTGATTACTTCCCAATAAACTTAGGTGCACATATCTGCATTGCCTGAAGTGGTTTCTCTGTGAAGCATTTTTTTAGATTTTGTACTAGCACTTGGATGGGTAGATCAAGTTTCCAGGGTTATTTAGAGACCGATTTGAGCTCTCTCCATAAACTCTGTAATTTATTACAACACTTTAAAGCTGCGAATTGCTACAGATCAGGCAGATAGTTGCGACTCATTAAACATGTTTTTAACCACCCATTCACAGGGGCATGCTTTTCGCCAGGGCATACCAGCACCACATTACTGTGGCGTCTGATCTGATTGGTTGTCATGGGCTGTAGAATGCGTGGAAGTAAGATCAGCTGGTATAGTGGCGGTACTTGTCGGAGCAGATAAGAACCCCTTTGCGATCTTCGCTCTGTTTCCAGAGGGCATGCGTTTTGCCAGGCGCACTATGTGATAACCTCCGAGACTGCGCACAGCCTGTCGGCGTATGTTTTCGGAGGTCTAGACTAGTAAAAGCTTAAATGGTAAAGCGGTACTCACAAGAGCTCTGTGATCTCTAGCGATGAGAGCCTGCCTCATGAGTTGAGGAGGTCAGGCAGAGGGGAGAAGGAGAGTATGGTATAATTCTCTGTAGCGGCCCTGGTACATGGCGTGTCACTAAATTCGTGGTGCGAATGGTTTGATAATGTTTAAGCCTGAACGCTGACAAAACTTCAAAAAGCAATTTCAGGGTCCCTTTAAGTACATCAGCATGCTACTTCTAATTCACTATTCATTATTCAGCTGAATTATAGTTGTGAGTAGGCTAAATTCCTCGGTAGACTAATGGCAGAAAGGAAAGAACAGAAGCTTCCGATCAAAAAAATTAATGAACAGGAAGGCTTGTCTGAAGCTTTGAAGAAGATTAGTCCATAGTCCAACTATTGAAACATCGTCTCAAACACACAACTTAGGTGTACAGATTTTTTTATGGTAGCCCAAGATAATTCTACAATTACAGACACAACTGTAAAAATGTAATGGATTGCGAGCAACAAGTTAGCACATGTAATTAGTTATGCACTAGTCAAGATGCAATATATCCTCTGTCATAGGCGTACCATCCGGCGGGGCAAGGGGCGTGCAAGCCCCCCCCACTGAGAAAAGATGGGGGGGGCTGAGCCCCCCACTTTCGAGAGTGGTTACTCTTGGCTGCACGCTGTAGAAACGAACAAGTAAGGTGTAGTTTTTCATCACAACAGCAATTTCTCGATTATGTTGCTATGGGATAATGAAATTGTTACGCGGCTATGTTACAACATAGTGAAATTTTGCCGACCTTGCAGCTTTGATGATTTTCCTTATATCTTTCGGCTGACAAGTGAGGTAGGCTTGCCCTGCCACTTGCGAAAGAGTTGGTACACCACTGTCCTCTGTGATAATCAGCTTGCTGCAGGAGCCGTGACGTGTAGGCGGTAATGCTCAGTGACCTCTAAGGTTCTTTACACATTCTGAATCATTTGCAGAAAGGGCAAACTTTCAGTGATAGCTGTTCTTTTTTTTACTTCTCATCTTCTTCTATGAGGAGCCGTGTGCCTAAATGAAAGAAATGTCTATAATTTGGTGTCTTTTAGTGTTTTAAGTGTTAATTTTGCTGCTCAGATTATTAATAATAATGGTGTAGCACAAGAACACAAAACAGAGATGCAGAAACATACACCACAGGTCCTGCTTATGACTTTAATGAAAAATTGATAAAATACAGAATATATACTGTTACGAGCTCACAGGCGTGCAAGTGACATCAAGCAGGCCGCAGGAGGCACCAGGAAGAAATAACACATATTGATGTGTTATTTCTTGGCTGAAAGAACGGCTGTATCACAGCAAACAAGACGACAGATGTCTGACTAATGCAATCATCACACCTTTCTTTGATAAAAAATGCTTCTGAAATTAAGTTTAAGTTTCATTCTATCTTTACTTCTACCCAGGATCCTGACATCACGAGACCGGGGAGTACTTGTGCACGCTTTGCAATGTGCTGAAAGGTGCTCATTGATGTTCTTGTTCAAATTTATTCGTGCGCCTGTCATTGATGCAGCCATTTGCCTTGTGTTCTTGTGCTACACCATGACGACTACATTCATACCTCGTTATAACAAGGTCACACCTGCCACGAAAATGATTCATTATATCCGAAAATCGATTATAAATATATATTTGTAGCACCGTATCTGTGACAGAGCTATTCTTCAGTTGCTTTGTTATAACTGATACTCGTTATATCTGGGTTCATTATATTGAGGTTTGAGTGTATTAGTAAACAACAACTAGCCCACAAACATGTCCTCCCGATAACATGTGTGGCAAGCACTATAGTGTGCAATGGGACCTGAAACTCTGAATTAATTTTCAGAGTCATAAATCGTGCTCTTTTTTCTCGACAAATGATGCCGTGATCCAAATGTCATCACAAGCACAAAGTCTACAGCCATTGTATGATTTAAGAGTTGCGAAATGCATATACTATTACAGCTGCCATTATAGGATTACACCAGTACACTTGTGATCACACAGGAGATAAGCCACATGTTCAAAAAAAGGACACTGAAAAGGGAGGGCTGAGGATCATGACACACACTGACAAACGAGGGTAGCCCTCTGCCTCCCTTGTCAATCACCCCTGCATAGTTGTCAGTGCACTTGCTGGTTCAAGATCATTGGACAGACCCTTGTGGCTCAACTCATGCTTTACTGATTCTAAGATTTTTTGTGGCCGTCAATTCTTGAGGTAATAAGCTCCTTTAATGATGTCATTCAATGGTCGCTTGGAAAAGTGTGACAGGGCGCGCATAAGTTAAAGAGACACTAAAGAGCAAAACGCTTTTTCGCGTCTCAGTGAAGTACAATTCACCAATCCCAAAAACACCACTCTTACTGGACATGACGCTTGATAAGGAAGAAAATGCGCAAAAAGAAAATGCAGGTAGAGACGCCACCTCAACGTTCCCGCACCAAACATCGCAACGTCATCAATTTTCGAAGGCATCTATTACGTCCTCTATAGCTTCTAATTGGTAAAAACAGAGTACATTGTCACCTGTGAATAGATAAAGCATAGGATGTTTAAAAAAATTTTATGTAGTCAATATCGCAAAAATACGAAAAACACATTTTGAAATTTGTTGCATTACGTGCCAAGATTACGATGCAAAATTTTAAAATGAAACTTCAACCATGGTTATCTCCACTAATAATGAATCTATGATAATAAAACATATGGCTTTAGAGTTCTCCGAGTGCAGTTTTTCAATCTAAACCAAGTCATTGCTTCTCTTTTGTGTGTTTAAGCCTTGTACAAATGCTGCCCAAGATTTTTGTGGTAGGTTACCTTGAATGCAAAGTGCGGTGCTGTTCATTACCGTTTGGTCTACCTGCTGTTGACACCTCACCCCTCCCACTCATTAGCGTGAGTCATAAGGCTGACGAGTAGAAATAGCCGATCTTGGACTTACGCCTAGTAGCTCGAAAAGAACAGAACGTTTTGAAAAGGATAAGTTTATAAGAAAGTGTGGTGACATCGGTGTGCATAAACACGTTTACATGAGTGCAAACATGCGCTTCGCATTCATGTAAGCAATGGAAGGTGCATTGCACTAATGCATAGAAAATGGGCAGTTTTGCAAGTGCCGGTCGATTCACGGGCCGTAAATCACGATGAGGGGAATGGTGGCCCCCCGTTGTGCGAACTTCGTGCGTCCCTCTTTCGCTATAAGGAATTAATATTAGCTCAAGAAAACAAAAACACTCGAGAAAGAAGTGGGACGAAGCAGAAATGTCGGGAGCTGAGATATTCCTGCCTCCTGCCACTCCTTTCTCAAGTCATTGTTATTTTGCTCGCGCTAATATGAACCTATTTATATAGTGGTTGATGACGCAGAAAATTGTGCGAATTTCTGTTTTCCATGCTCGAGGCACGACTAAGCTAATGAGTTATTTTTTTTTAATTCTTTTACATAAACCAACTCGCCCAGCTACAAGCCGCTGTAATCCGATACTAGCTCGCTGTAATCCGACACCACATGGTAGCTGCGGCGTACAGAAGACGAGAGGTCCGGCAAACGGCGTCGCATCACCTTTCCGAAACGCGCTTGCAAAGTCGATGGGCTACTCTGGCATTCGTGTAAAATTGATTACAGCCTGACAGCTCGAGGCAACTGCCAGTCAGTCGGCTGCCAGCTGGGGCGACTAACTAACATCATTCAACAAGAGGCCGGCACGCCGTCTCCACGGTTGTTGGGAGTGGGGTTCAGTTCGTCTTTCCTCGATAAGAAAGCACGTTTGCGTATAGCCGCGCGTCGACAGTTTGCCGTAAGCCGGCACGGCACGCACAGCGTTTATACGAATGCGACGACTGGCGCATCACGACCATGTAAACGGGGGTAATGCGCTAGAAAGACGTATCGCACAAATGCGCCAGGCAGGTCGGGATTTCGAGGGGTAAGTCGACCCAGAGTACTTTTCACGACAAAGGAACGCCGGCCACTCGTCGTGTTGGCCTTGTGTGCACTTCTCGCACACTACAAGACAGCTGCGAGGACAGAA